ACCCACGGGCGCTCGCTCCGTCGGGGATCGGAGTATCCCGGGGTCAGGATTTAGGGCAGGGACTTTCGCCAAGGGCATGGTGGTGGATCTCCTCTCCCCCGGGTGTGAGCCCCTGGGTGGCAAGGCACAGCCGTCGCTGGGAGCTTTCCCGCAGTTTGCTGCCTGCTGGGGCTTCTCGGGTGGCTAGCAAAGGGTTGGGCTGCGGTGGCAGCCTTTCCCGGGGACCGTGGGAGTGCCGATGGCAGATTTTTCGCCTCCTTCGTTCGTGGAGGGAGCAAATACCGGCGATGCCTGCGCCTCCGGGAAACGTGGCGAGATTGGGCAATGGGTTCAAGTGCAGCTGGGGGAAGGGACTCTCCCACGCACGAACATGCTGAGCGAGTAGGAATGAACATCGTTTCCAAAGGGAAATGGGCTAAATACGCCCGCATCCCTGCCTGCCCCCGGGGGGTGGGGCACCACCCAACTCGAGCCCTCCACTTTGCCCGATTCATTATTTCCATCGGTGCAAGAGCTTTCATCCTCCCTCTGCTTTCATCCTCCCTCCGCGCCAGTTTCAGACTGCACCCTGACCGGAGGAGAAAGGTCTCAGGGACCTGGGTGGTTCAGAGGAAGAGGAGGAAGCAGCACAGTGTTTGCCCTGCCCAGGTGCAAGCGGGCTCAGCCTATGGTCAGCAAGGCCTGACTTTGGCTGGGTGTTATTCACCTTGGCTCAGAAAGGCTTCTCCTTGCTCTGCCCTGGCTCTTCTCACCAGTCAGTTAAGAAGTGGGGACACCTCACACCCAGGTCAGCAACTTGGGAAATACACCCAGGTGTCAAACCAGCACAGGGCTCCCCCCATCTCCATATCCCCATGAACAGGAACCAAAATTCTCCCCCCAGCAGCAGAGACCAACAAACCCAATGCTTGGAGGAGAAGCTGGTCTGGGAGTGGGCCGTGGGAGGGGAGTTCAGCAAATTCCCACTTTTGCCCCCTGGTCTGAGAAGGATCATTTATCCCTAGGGCTAGATGTCTTGAAGGCAGAAGGCGCCTGCAGGTTTCTTGCATGCTGGGGAGGGGAGCAGGACCAGATCTGCCCCTAGGGAGCTTGAGGAAGAGTGTGACAGTTCCCTGTACAGCTGCCCTTGGCACGAGGTGGGTGCTGTGAACCCACCAGCGCATCTGGAGGAGTATAGAGAGCAGCCTGTTCTGTGTCTCCCACAATAACCTTCCCTTGCTGAGGAGGGAGTTTCTTCGTGTGCAGTGAGTGTCAGGCTGGCCTGAACTCACAGCAAATTGATGGCCATCTCTTTCCAGCAAACAATACGGAAAGAGGGGAGTGTTTTCCCACCCTCTGCTTTTGGGGGTGGCTCTCCTGGTATCTCTGACAGCTGCAGTTCTGCATGAGGCAGAGAAAAATGGGGAAGCCCCCCATGAGGGGTTCCCATCCCTCCTCCTCCCGTGTCCTCTCCCTGCCAAGGCCAGATGCTTTAGCAGTGCGTGCAGAAAAGTCCATTGTAGGCAGTTTTTCAAATAACTTGCCTAGAAAGGAAATTTCTGCTCTTGGAAACTGGCTCCTGCCCCAGTCCGGGCACATCGCTGCTATTTTTTATTTAAATTGATTTGAGGAGGGTGGGGAGGGCCTGGGCGGTTGGTGTCGAGTCTTTACAAATCTCTGACCCTTTTCTGTGTCGTCTGAACTGAGAGGCATCATGTGCCAAAATCCTGGCCAGAGTTTTCCCAGGCTCCTTCCTTGGATGCTTTTGTTGCTGTGTTTGCTGTGAGACCAGAGACAAGGGTCTCAGGAGACCACTGGGTTACCCATGGGAGGGCGAGTGACTCCGAGGATACCGGATGCTGGGGACCACGCGCTGCGCTTAAAAATCATCTCAGGGGATCGCATGGATTCCTGTCACAGCTTGCTGATGCTGGGACAGGATGTGTTTGCAAAGGAGTCCATGGGCATCCACAACTCCCAGGCTGCCTGTACCCGCCCCACAATGGGGTTTTCTCCCTCTCGCCCCATTGTCGCCTTATTCCCTTTCCTGGCAAAATATTTGCATCCCGCGCAGGGGAAATCCAGTGGCTTTTGGCGGCCAGTATCACACAGACAGGAATGTCTTGGCACACGGGGTTTTCCGTTAGGAAAACAGATGTTTCTGCGGCAACTGAAGTTTGCAAAGAGCTTCCCCAGGCTCGGAGGGGCAGGAGCCAGTGAGGAGAGTGGTGTGATCAGCAATGCCTGTCCTCTCTGTCTTCCCATTTTGGGAGTGATTTGAGTCTCCAAATCTTGCTGTGTAGCATTGTCACCAGGCTTGGTTCAGACCCTAGAAGGAGGGAAAAAGAGGCATGAAGGGACCAACCCGGGGAAATGCTGACAGTGCAGCCAGACCCTTGCCCTGAGTAATACCTCTGCCTGATCCACTTGCCCTGCCAGCAGCCTCCCAGGGCTTGGGGGATGCTCTGGGATCAGATCTGCACCTAGTACTCTAGTCCTTGTTGCCATAGGAGACAGTGACATAAGTGACCTGGATTTATTTCCCTGAGAGGGTTGGTGGCTGGTGGAAGCCATAAGTCATTGATCACCAATGGTTGTATCCCCATGTCTCGGAAGGAGTCCCCTAGAATGAGTCCCTGCAGGGTGTTCTCCCATACTGTGCTCTTCATCAAGCAGCTCAGGAGACCTGTGGCCACCATGGTGACACCTCTGCCAGGGTGGGCTGGGACTGGGTGTCCTTAGCCACCAGAGTCACCCTGGTCCCCTCAAACTCCCTGTGCTCTCTGTTTCTGTGCCAGGCTTACCTGAGAGCGGTCGACGTGAAGATCCTGCAGCAGCTGGTGGTGGTGAATGAGGGCATCGAGGCGGTGAAGTGGCTGCTGGAGGAGCCTCCCTCCGTTGCCACCCCCCCCCCCCCCCCAGCCAGTACAGCCTGGTGGAGAGCCAGGAGGCCTCGCGACGGGGCAGCTGGGACAGCCTGCAGGACCCCAACGACAGGCTGGACAGCATCTCTGTCGGCAGCTACCTGGACACCTTGGCTGATGACATGGATGAGTATTCCCAAAACGCTGCTGAAACTGCCGCAGCATCCACACCGGGCAGAGCCCTGGTCAGGGCGGAGCAGGATTGGGTCAGGATCGACTCTGAGAGGGGTCTTGCAAAGCAAGAGAAGGGCAAAGTGGAGCAAGAGTGGCCCCACATGGACCTCTCCCCACCTGGGTTGCCCCAGGATCACCGGTTTGCTAAGGAGCCCCAGGTGGCCAACGGGTATTTGGGCCAGCAGCCCTCCTCTCTGGAAGCAGGCAGAGACACGAAATCACCACCGGGGGCTGGGGAGAGGCTGGGGAAGGGAAATCTGGGTGGGAAGGCTCGGAACACTGAGGCTGACTTTGAGAACTGCAAGCTCAACAGCAAACTGCACCTGGAGTATGATGCCCACTGGCGCTGGCTCCAGTCTCAGGATGATGTGACATTCTTATAGTCTGTGGCTTTCACTTCCCAGTCCTGCTCTCCCAACTGCCTGCTCTGCTTCATTTGTCTCTGCTTGGGAGAGCTGGAGTGGCTGGAGAGTGGGGGACAGGCTGGCTTGGTGGTGTTGCACTGTTTCTCTGATTGCCCCTCAGTTTGGTGATGCAGCCATAAGGGATGGGGTGCCTGCCCTGTGGCAAATCTCTGGGGGAGGTGGGATGAGGTAGGTCCTGGTAAATTTAATCCTTTGCTCTGGGGTGGTGCTTGCAGGTGGCTGGACACTCCTCTGTTGTCCTTGATGTTGGTGGTGGGGAAACCTGGGACAGTGGCACTGCTGGGACCTCTCCTTCTAACACATAGCCTCCTGTCTGCAAAACACTGAGGATCCTTCCCTCAAAATGACTGTCCAGAGAGGACAGGAGATGCTTCCATGCATCCACAGCTCAGTGGCACCAGTATGTGAAGTGCGAAGTGCGAGGCAGGACCATCAGCAGGGCATCCTTGTTGGATCTGCTCATTTCCATCGTCATCCTCAAGGCCAGTGTCCATCCAGGGCAGAGTTGACCTGGGATTTGGCCCCAGCACATGGTGGATGCTAAAAACCCCTTCCCTGCAGATGAAGCCCTGCATGGTTTAAATTCCTCTGTGAAGTCAGTCTGAAGCAGGGTTGGGGAGCCTTCATTTGTGCCCTGCAGAGGAAGGATGATGGTGCAGACATCTGATGTGATGACAGGAGAACAGCACAGCACTGGGTGGGAGATGGAGATCCAGTTCTCCCAGTTTGTTTCTGAACTGTTTTCCACCTTGGGATCAGTCCTGCAGAAACCCTGGGACGTGGCAGTGTATGGGCAGCCTGGCAGAGACTGCAGGGCTCAGAAAGTCTCCTGCTTTCACGTGATGCAGTGTGATGGCGGTGAAGGCTGGGTTTTTTACCTGTGTGATTAATGGTGCCAGGTCTCTGCCTCCTACCAGCAACATGAGACTCCTCTTTTGGGGTGAATTTGCAGTGACCCTGCCCTGGAGACATCTCTGTCTTTTTAGCCTTGGCTTCTGCCTGTGCTTTTCACTGTCCACCCACCATGCCTCCCAGCACACCCCTCGCTGGCTTGTAGAGCATGACTTGCCACTGGGAGCTTGGGCAGGACCTGCTGCCTTCCCCAGACAATGCAGAGAAGGACATGAGCATCCTGCTTCAAGGAGATGGGCTCTTCCACATGTGTGGATAAGCTTTGGAGTGTCCTGAGTTTACAACCCATGGGTACATCTGTCTCCATTGAGTGCTGTGATGACTTTGCTCTCACTGTGGTGCCGTTTTTCCCTTGCCTGTGTGGGTGGCAGCTTGGTTCTTTCGTTGCTGGAGTGGTAGGAGTGAGGACAACATCTCGTGATGTCAATGGGAATCTGAGAGAGAGGGAAGACCTGACAGTGACTATAGATGTGAGATGTGAGCTGGCCATGGTTATGAGGGTGGTTGGGTGCATGACAGGTTCAGCTTGGTGTCTTTGAAGCAGCACCTTCAGTGGAAACTACCCTCTATGCTGAGACCCCTGAGCACCCTCCCTTCCCCTGCATATCCTCAGGACATCCCTGGATGGACATGGAGAGCAGGACAACATCCAAACTTCCCAGAGATGGCACCTGCCAAGGACACGGGAGAATCCCAGCAAACTGGGGCTGGGTTGCCCTATGCAAGCATCCATCTGCCTGCCCTGGAGCAGCTGTGCTTGGCTGGCCATCACCTGTGAGCAGCTCGTGGTGTCCTGTGTAGCTTTGCCACTGACACTGAGCCACCATGTGCCCCAAGGCTGGCTGTCCCCCAAGGCTGACTGTCCCCTGCTTTCATTCTAACTCTGCATGCGATGAATTGGCTGAGGGTCCCTGGGGGAGACAGGGTAAGCCCTCCAGCGCTGTTAAAATCATTCTCAACAAACAATAGCTGGCTTAATAAATGTTAGTGTTTCTCCCAGGCCATGCTGTTGGTGCTTTGCCGACCTTATGGGTGTTTCTAGGGGAAGGGGAGAGGCTCTGGGCTGGTACGCCCTGGAGCTGCTGGCAGCCCTGCAGGAAGGCAGGTTTAGCCCCAGCCCTGAAACAGGCACAGATCAAGTGTCTGGAGATTTGTCCCTTTTCACATCAAGATGGTGACACATAAGAGTCACACTTGCTGAAGCAGCTGAGTACTAGTGCACATCTGCTGGGACAAGGATGCTGGTGAGACTGTATTGATCTTGGCTGAACTATGTGTTGAGCTGCAAACGGCAGCTTCTTCGTTCTTGCCCCAGATTTCCAAGGAGGATCTTTTTAGGTGTTTGCCAGCCCCGTTAGTCGTGCTGGAGTGTCTGTTTGCTTCCTGTGTTCTGCAGTAGCAGCCTTGGCTCTTGTGGCCTCCACCCAAGAGGTGCAGCAGGGATCTGGGTGTAGAGCAGAGACTTCTCCAGCCCAGCTGGGGCGGGAGCTGCACAGCTCTGATATCAGGCTGCTGGGATTTGCTCCTGGGTGGATCCCTTTAAAACCTCTAGAGCTGGTGCTCATGCAAACATCAGCTTTTCCAAAGCAAATGCAATCGGCTTATCCAACCCTGCCATCCGGGCCTCAGCATCCCTTCCGGCTCACGGCTTTGACACCGTGAGCTTTTGCAGATGGGGAATTAGATGCTGGAGCCAGCAGGACTCGGCAGGATTTCCCCATTTTCTGCTGGGCTGAGGATAAAAGTAAAGTATTGAAGAAAACCTTAGAAATAAAATGCCCGGCCCATTCCTCTTCCAATTTGAGACCTCAACAGTCAAACAGCCATGTATTGCCACAGAGGAGCTTTTGCTGGAGCACCCTGGGCATCGACTCTTCAGCCTGGCTTACATCAGCCCAAGCTGCCCACAGACCCCAAATCTGTGTGTCTCCCAAATCCCAGCCTTTGGAGCTGGAGGGGTGAATGGGACCTCATGGTTTACCTGCCATCCCCTGCTCTGTCTCTGGGCTGTCTGGATGAGGGGTCACCCACCTCCAGGCTTTGCCCAGGCACATGCAGTGCCAACATGTCCCAAACCTGCCCTGGCGAAACACCCCAAGGACCTGCATCTTGCTGAAGGGTGGGTGCAGCATTGGGGTGCAGAGCACCCATGGGAGGGAAACAGTCCACAGCATGCATCCACAGCCTCTCTCCTGATCTGCCTGGCCCTTACCCTGTCTGCTGCTGCCCTTGGGCTGTTCAGTGCCTGTATCAGGTAAGAAAACAAGCAGATAAAGCAGGCAGGATCCCAGCCGTGCCAGAAAACACCCACCTCTGTTACAATAAAAACACCACCAAGCCAATTTTTTTTTTCAAGATATACACAGAGATTAGACTGCCTTAACGAGGCAGTAAAACACTCCAATAGCTCCCCTTGCTTGCTATTAAAATCTCCCCTGGGCTTTCCCCTCCCTGTGTGCAGCTCTACTCCGAAGAGGCCTGTCCCTGGAGCACTGCAGCCCTTTAAGCGATTTCTGTTAGTTGAGGAAGCATGAAAATAACGTTTTCCCAGGGGAAAAAGAGCATGGTCTCCATGTCGGAAGGGAGGTGGCCAAAGGCCCTCCCTCAGTCCAAGGGTGTTTGGTCCCTCTGCCAGACACAGTTGCCTTTGATCTGGCCAAGGGCTTGCTGGCATGGGGTGCATCACTGTGGGGTGAGCCAGAGAGCAGGTGCAGGGGTTGTGTGGGTGCAGGCACAGCCAATGGGGCTGGATCCAAGCATCCTCACCCTCCTCTTATCTGGAGATGCATGTTCCCTGTTGACCCTTGTACTGTTCACTGCCCAGGTCCTCTGCACCCCATGGTTTGCTGTAACCCTTGCTGGGGAGCAGTTCTGCAAGGAGAGCCCTGGGCTTGTGCTGCCTGACCCATTGCAGACAGCGTGGGGCAGGAGAGGTTAACAAATGTGGTGGGTTGCCACCAAGCCTTACTCTCAGCTGGCCCTGTTTTGGCAGTGGGGATAATCTCCTAGACAAGACTGAAGTGTTGGTGCTGGTTGGAGCAAAGTGGTGATTCGCAGGGGGATTCCTATAATGCTAAAGCCATCTCCAATTCAGGACAACATTCAGTCCCAGTACCGAGGGACATGGCACCCAGGCTGGTCCCACTGCCCAGCTCACCTCCTGCCAGCACCCCTCATCTAACCTGCTCCCCATATTGTGCCCAGGACCCACCAGTACTGGGTTAAACCAACCCAGTGTAAGATTACTGTGTCCTGAGTTTCCATCTGGTTTCCAGCTTTTCCTTCTCACTGCCCCAGGGTTACAGATCTCCAAAGGTGGGAACTTCCTAGTGGTTTTGTGCAAAGAGGAGAAGGGAGAGGCATCCCCCTAGTGCCTGTCTTCTGCTAAACCTCTGCCACACACTGGAGAAGCCACACCAGATAGGGGATACTCCGACTGCCCAGGGCGGCTCAGGCACCAAGTGAGGGTCTCTTGGTAACCTCCTGCCTCCTCCCTACCTATGGGAACACCTTTCCAAGATTCTTGGTGTCTGCAGCTGAGTGACTGTGAGGCTGGCGAACAAGGGTACCAAGCCAGAGCTTGAGCCAGGAACCAGCTGAGCCTTTGGGAAATGCCTCCCCAGGCTGTTTGTTCCCTGACGGGGGCTGGCAGCAGGCCAGTCCTTTGCTTTGGAGGCTAATCCTCTGGCTTTAGAGCTTCCCGGCACTCCTTGGGAGTGAAAAACAAGTGTGACTGCTCAGAGCCTCGTGGGTGTGTGGGCACGGGTGGGTGATGAGGACAAGCTCAAGCAGTCAGAGTGCCAGGAGAGAGCCGTGGCACAGCTCCCTCCTTCCTCCTCCCTGGGTGCTGGGCACCCACCCTGGCCCATCAGCATCCCTGATGACCTTCCTCCCACTTCCATGACCCACCACTTGGCAAGAGTCCCCTATGCCTCCCATGTAGAACTTGGTCCTGGGGACATCCTGTTCAGTGCCACCCCAGGGGTGACACCAAAAGCTGTGTGTGCCCAGGAGATGTGTGTGCTCCTGCCACCAGCTCTGCCTCAGTCCCCAGTAGGAAGCGGAAGAAAAATCTGAATTGCTCTTCTGAGAAATTAATCTTCTTTCCCCGTCTTAGCTCAGAGTGACCTAGACGAACTCCCCTGTGTTGTTTTTTTTCCCCCTGAGGGGTGTTTAAAGGGTGAATTACAGCAAATGTGTTGCAATGAGGCTGTGGGGGAGACCTGGGCCAGACCTACAGCAGGGCAAATCAGTGCAGGCAGAGTCTGAAACGTTTAGGTAGTATTTGCCTGGCTGCTCTCTCCTGCAAGACCCTCTGGTCTGTGCATGGGGGCTAGGGGGGAGCGGGAGGGAGCAGATAAAATTTCATCTGCCTAACCCTGGGCAGTAAAACAGAAACAGTAAAACGTTGAGAGATGTGTTGGGTTCCTCCTGTCAGGGTGCAGAGTCAGGGGGACTTTTGGTTAGAGAGAAGTAGAAGCTGAGCTGCTGGAAAGAGAAATGGTGTGGTAGCTGGGAGGGTGGTGGGGGCTGGCCTGGGCAAGGGCAGGATCAGGCAGGGGCAGGCAGGGATGCTGCCTGGCCAGGGCTGATGCCCCCATGCTACATGGTCACCTCTCGAGTGAGGTGAGGATATGTCCTCACTGGGGACACCAATGGGGAAAGATGGGGAGCAAGATGAGAGGGGAATGTCCCCAGCTGGGAACAAAGCAGCTGCAGTGCTCATCATACTTCCCTGATGTCTGTGGACCTGGGGTGGTGACAGGGACCAGATCTGGATGGGGGACAACTCTGACAACCAGGACAGGGGCAGGAGGTGAAATATGCCTCTCCCAGGACCTGCTCCTGCCCCACCAAACCTTCTACTGCTTCATTTCACATCCCTTCTCCTCAGTCCCCTTCATCCCCATGGATGAAGCCTGCATAGCCCAAATGCCATCCCTGGCTTTGTGGGCACAGGCTGGGTAAGGGGAACCAGCCACCCCAGCACCAAAATGACACTGATAAAATCCTGAAGCTCATGTCTTGTGGGTTACATCCAGGTGTGGAGTTTCATCAGCCTTTAAAACTCATCAACTGCACTGCAAAGGGTACTGCTCTTGGGCTGAAGGGCCAGGAACCCCTTCCCTGCTCCCTCCCTGCCTCAGTTTTCTTTTTTGTAAAGGTGGGGAGGATTAGAAATGAAAGAAACCCCCAGCCTCCTCCAGCTCCTCCTGCTCCTGAGGACTTTCTTGTGGCTGTGCCATGAAGTTGGTTCCAGTTCCACATGTCTTGAAGCAGAGTAGGGAGGCCAGATAGTTGCTTCAGTGCTCATACATATATCTCTGTACATCTCTCTGTCTGTCCCTCCTCACCAAAGTGCTGTGACTGGGAGGGGAGTACAGTACTCATGGCCATCCAACACCTTCTGCAAAAGGGTCTTCAGTCCAGAAACAGCACCAGCTTGGTTCTATGCCCTGGGAGAGAGGCAATGCTGGGAACCAAAGTGGTTTGAGGCAGTTTTGGGGCAGTAGCCCTCATTTTGCAGGCTCAGCTCTGGGTCTCGGGGCAGCAGGGCACAGGCAGTGTGAGCAGTAAGGATTATGGCTGCTATAAAAAGCACCAGCATCTCTCGCCCCTGCTCCCTAAGGCGCTTAGGGGAGGAAAGAGGGAATTAAAGAGCAACCTCCTGCACTGAAGAGGTACAGGGACTGAAGCAGAGCAGCCCAGCACATTCATCACTCTTCCCTCTCAGCTTCTCCAAAAACCTCCCATGGGCAAAGCAGCCCCCAGCACCTCTTCCCATGGACCTTCTCCCTGGGCTCCTACTATTGGGTGACCAGACTCTCATCCCCTGCTTCAGAACTAGTGGGCAACAAGGACAGGGCTTGGGGGGGGCGACAGGGGACACACACAGCTGAGGGTGCTGTAGCATTTGCACTGGTCCCCAAACAAAAATATGGAGCTCTCCATTCCCCATCCTCGCAGCCTCACTCATCTGCCTGGACCTGTCCTGTCACCCTAGTTCAGAGGTCCTCTGAGGGTATTGGAAATGTCCTCCAAAATGCAGCCATCTGCATGGGTGAGTGGTTGGCCAGAAAAATGCTGAATTCATGGAGGGACATAGGTTGCTTTCAGCCAAAAGCCATACTCTGCCTCCAGTGTCCAAAGGCAAAATGGCTCAGGACTCTCTGACAAGCTCACCCTCATCCTCAGAGCTCAGCACTAGTGTGGTGTCTGGTGACATGTTTGGGCACAAATTAGGGAGAAGTCAGGTGCTAGATGATGGCAATGATGCAGGGATGGGGAGATATGAAGGAAGGTGGTGTTAGAAACTGCTGTTGTCTGTGGTTTTTCCCTGGCATATGGCAGGTTCCAGTGGAGTCAGTTGCAAAGGCAGCTACAGCCATGGTGTCCTGCAGAGATATGGTGCCAGCCTGGTTCCTGGCATTGACCAGGTGTGACCCCACAGCTCAGGGGGATGGTTGGTGGTTTTCCTTACCATGAACACTGCCATAACATTACCCAGGGCTTGGTCAGTCAAGGAGATGGACACAGCACCAAGATCCTTCCTTGCATCCTTGCAAAAGAGGGCCTTCAAAAGAGAGGTGATGGCTTCAAGAGACTAAGGAGGGAAGTGGACTGAGGGCACTTCCTTGCCAGCCCCTTCCCAGAATTGAGCAATCTGGTGCAGGTGGCCACAGGAGGGAGCTTGGCTCCTTCCTTCTGCTCCTGCTTGCAGGACAGTGGCCTCGGGTGGGTGACAGCCATGCTGGCCCTAGGAGTTGCTGCTTGGTGCAAGAGCATCTCCTCGGGATCAAACCACGTCATGTGGGACCCGAGGTGTCTCAGGAAGGGAGCAAGAGCCTGACTGGAGCAGAGGTGACTGCCTCCATCCTCAGGGAAGCCTCCACCTTATTTCCAGCAGTTGATGGGCAATGGGTCAACAGTGCAGATGAATCACTGCGTTGTTGCCTGCAGCCATGGGGGGACCAGTTGTGCCCAGTGAATGGCATGTCCCCATGGCAGGGACTAGTCCCTCTGAGAGCAGTGCCAGTGCAAGACACATGGTCTCACTGTCCCTCCTGAGCAGTGGCCAGGGGCACCCCAATGTCCAGCCCCTAGATGTTGAAAGTACAGGGGAGCAGGTAAACCAGTCTCTCCCTATACAACCTCCTGTCCTCCAGTTTCCTCAGACCAGCTCTGGTGCTGCAGTCCCATTCCCAAGGGCCGACATTTATGGGATCACCCCCCAACACACCCCTGTGCTGCCAGGGTATTGCTGCCTAGCTCCTCTCCACAGCCCCAGCACATGGGATGGCTGGCAGTTGCCAGAGTAGCCATGGCCAAAAGAAATGGGAGAAAAATGATGGTGGCAGCAACATTGTGTCTGACTGGAAATGCTAATTACTGGGGAGAGGTCTGTGGTACTGTCCTATGCCTTTGCTTGCCGCAAAGCTGACAAAGTCCAGTGTGGGTCTGCTGGTAATGGCTCTCATTGGGATGAGTCTGAGGGATGCAGACATATAATGGCTATTTTCCCACATAAAGAGTTGGGATTTCATGCAGGTGGACCCTCATCCTCCCAACCAGCAACATTCCTTGGAGATGATGGAGAGCGGAGAATGAGGGTGCGCCCTGTCCAAACAGAGCTGCTCCCAGGCAGGGGATGCTGGTTGGGAAGCTGGGCTCAAACAGAGCTGTGGTGGAGGGAAGGTGATGGCTCTGACCCGGCCATGGGTATGGAGGAGGAAGGCTCCCTGGGGAGTTAGGACTGTCACCCTGCTGTCCCAGAGCCATGTGATACACCTGCTGAAATGTGCTGTGAGATGGAGTGGCTAAACTGAGGGGAGGAGTGATGGCTCAGGCATGTCACCAACACACCAGGCTGTATTTGACCTCTACTGACCTTTCCATGCCTTCCTGCAACCTGTTGCATCCTGGGTCTTTCCCCAGAAACACAGACATCCCCCTTTGTCTGCAGCCTACTTGTCTCCTTCGCTCTTTTCACCACCCCATTCCCGCGCTGCGGGACAGGCGCATGCCAAAGGCCCGCCCGGCCCCTCTCTGGCTCATTTTTCTTGCAAGCTTCGTTTGGTGGGTGTATTGTGCATTTGCTTTTTCTCTTTTGCTATTCACAGGGAACAAAGAAGGGGTCATACACCCATGGGCAGATGTCAGGACAGGGCTGACAAGCCTGGGAGAAGGGGTGATGCCACCCGTCCTGACAAGGTCCATAGAGGCTGGCGAAACTGGGGGAAGAAGGGCTTTGCCCTGCAGTGCCAGCTCTGCCCATCCCTTCCTCTCACTGCCCGGTCCTGCAAGGTGGATGCTGCGCTGTCCCATTGCTCCATCCCTCCTCTCCATCCTGCTGCTCCATCCTGCTGCTCCATCCCTCCTGGCCCGGACATCACGGCCGTCACGTCTGCTGTGGCAAGTGACAAGTCTCGCCGATGGCAATGACCACATCCTGGGGATGGCGGTCCCGGTGCCGCGGAGCCTCAGGCATCTCGCTCATCTCGTTGACACTGTTGCTGATGCAGTTGATGTCGCTCTTGTTGCTGTTGTCATCTGGGTTAGGGCCAAAGATCCAGTCTGGAGGTGGGAAAAGCACAAAATGAGACCCTGGTTACCTCCAGCTGTTCGTAGAGTCTAAGCTGGCTGGGAAATCGCTGTCCCTCGCTATATCCTACCCTTTGCTCTGGGTGCTCAACCCCCCAGGAGGTTCCCTTGCCCACCCCTGTCCCTTCAGTTCCCTCTGCTCCCCTGGTACTGGGGTCTCTGCTCTTCCCAGCACTGGGCTAATTTTCAGGCTGCTGGTTCCTGGAAGCCCTCCCGGCTTATGCAAATGAAATCACTCTCTAATCTCAGAACTGAGAATGAAGTGCCTCCAAAGTGAAGTGTGCATCTGAGCTCTATGGCAATGTATTTCCTACAGGGGTTTTTTGCTGTCAGAACCAGAGAGGACAATTAAATAGCTATGTGACATCCAAATGGGGCTGGAGGCATGGCTGGGGACATGGCTTTTCTGCCTCAAGAGTGTATCACAGCCTCACCAGGGCTTCAAACTCTCCATAGCAGCTTCAGGGCTGCACTTCTCACTGATCAGAACACCAGGACATGGCCCTGAGCTGATCCAGCCACTCTCACAGCCCTGGGGGTGATTGAGTCCCCTGCAAAATACAGTGGTCACTGCTGGATGGCAGCATGACCGAGACATCCCCTGCAGCACAAGAGGCTGCAGATCACTGGAGGCAGGTGGCTCTGCTTCCCAAACAGCTATTTTTAAAAAATTTGGCTGTTTGGGCAGTGAGAGGCCATGCCCAGCCGTGATGGAAAGGCACAAGCAAAGAGGAAAACAAAGCTGGGGAAACCCAGATGTGGGGAGAGGAGCTCCAGACAGGAGGTGGTGGACAGTGGAGCACCAGCACCACTCTGCTTTAGCCCTGCTCCCAAAATAAAGCAGAGATGGCTATCAGGAGGCAGACAAAAGGACAAGCTTGGTTTAGCTGTTTCTGAGGGACTCTACTTATTCACCAGTAGACCACTCTCAAGAAATAACATTTCTCTCCTCTGTGGCATGGGGTATTTTGACTGCAGCTCTTCAGTGGAGGATGTGGGCTGCCTGGTGGAGCAGGGATGGAGAAATGCAATCCCAGGGAGACATTGACTTTCTCATAGGCTGCAGAAAGAAGTTTTATAGCAAAACTGAGGCTGAATGATGGCAAATGCCAGCGTGGGATGCCAGGTGTGAAGGGAATGAAAGATCTAATTTCTTGGCTTGCCAGTGGTGTGCAGGCATTTCTGCAGGCATAAGAGAAGC